GTTCTCTATCCTGTGTACTGTAAAGTATATATATATCTATTAATTCCATGAAAATTGTAGATGGTGGATGAAGAGGAGGGTGAAAAAAAGGAGGGGAGAGGGAAAATGGGAAAATGGCAGTGTTTCCCTTACCTCCTATATACTTTTTTTTAAAAACATCTTTTATCATTTGAGATTTTTTTTTCTTCTTCATCTATCAAATTTAAGTTGATACTACCACCTAGAGGTCAGTCTATTTGGTTACAATTGCTACTTTGTATAAAATATTGGAAGTAAGATTGTATTTTTCCAATATAAACATGAGTGTAGCAATTTATCACAAGCATTTCAAATAGACTCATTGTATACATTTACATCAAATTCCTCCCTTATAAGTGTTTAGAATTTCTTGACACATTCTCTAGTTTTTGAGTGTTGATTTCTTTTGGTTTTGACTTATCAACAGGGGACTCTGTAATCAATTGACATTGTCACACAATTTTAGGTTATGTCACAATATAAGCCTGCACTTACCTTCTCTGCTGCGCCTGCAAAGTCCTTGGGGGTCTCTGGCACGGGCGGCTATGTCACGCCGCACTCCCACTGCTGCTCCTCTGGCTCTCCTCTCTGCTGCCCACTGCCAGGTTCCGCATGGGTACTGCCACTGCGGTAAGATCGGGGGTCACACTGATGCTAGTGCAGCGTGCAGGAGGGATCAGAGATGGCGGGTGGGAGGGCGGTGTGGACAGGCAGAGGACAGGGACTTGGGAATAGCCAAATTGGTGCACAGTCTCCTCCCCTTCTTTATTTGCATTTAGGCTAAGCCTACAGGGAGGTCACGGTTGGTCACATGACCAGCTCTTCCTATAAATAGCCAAACACTGAACTTAGTCTGTGCTTGGTTGTTCTGCTGCTTGCTCCCAGTCTCCTGATCCTGGTCTGTGTTCCTGGTTCATGATTTCCGGTTCTTAGTTCCTGATTCCCCGTAATACTTCTCGGCTTCTAAACCTTGGCTTTGACCATGACCACATCTCTTGTCTCCAACCCTTGGTTTCTGACATCCTGCTTTCTCTTCGTGGATCTCCTGACCTTTGACTTAACTCTTGACTTCGCTTCTTTGCTGCCAGCCCTGACCATCGAACTGCCTGCCTCTGCTTCCTGCCTCCTCCTTTCTGGCTTCTTATCTGCCGTCACATTCTATGTTTCTATGTTTCTTTGCTTCCTCTGTAAATAAAGGCACCCATGCTCTCATAGATCTCCCAGGTTCCGTTTGCAAGGGGTTGCCATTCTGTTCCTCTCCAAACAAACCAACCGGTAGGGTTGTTCACTCACCTACCTGAATGATTATGTTAAACTACGCACTGCAATCACCTTACTATCAGGTAAACTGTAAACATGGTCTCACCAGTTACTTCGTATCAACAGTCCTCAACTTGCTTCATTGTAATCCTTAATCTCTGATTTGTTGATACCTTTAGAGCTTTGACTTCATACACAACCATGCGGTTCCTGCGACAAGGACTGAACTATTGAAAGACGAGTTGGCTAGACTAGGCATACTGCCCTCTTTGAAATAATTGATCCTGCTTGTTACCCAAGTTAGACAAACTCTTCCGCAAAAGGAGGGCTGAAAGATTGTAAGTGCATGCTTCACCCCGACTTCCTGCTGCAACCACTACTTCTTCCCTCTTACAGATCACTGAGGACCTTATGCAAGCAGGGGAAAATTGCCTATTTCACGAGGAACGTACGAAATGTCGTTCAGAAGGAATCTGTCTCTACTGTGGAAAAGCAGATAATTTATTAGGAAACTGCCCTGTTTTTCCAACCCCACCTTCAAAAAAGCAAAATATTGCTTTCTCCTCTTGGAACCTCACAGCTCCATCACTTTCCATTCATCTCTCCATTCCTCTTTTCCTACAATGGGGAGATGAAGAGCACATTATAACCACTATCATTGACTCAGGAGCTAATGGTGGTTTCCTCAATCACACCATTGCAAATTCCTGGCATGTACCCACATATAAGAAACTGAATCCCATTCAGTTATACTTGGATGATGATACTCCTCTCAAAGTTGGACCTGGACGCCTGGAGACCGAACCGATTTACCTTCTCATTGGCCAACATACCAAGACCACACTCCTGGATATAGTCCTATCTCCAATGTACCCACTTATATTGGGACTTCATTGGCTCACAAACTCTCCATTGACTGGAACAAGGGAACAATTACATTTCCTTCGGAGCCTTGTTCTACCTGTTTAACTCCAGATCCTGCACATCTCCTTACCATGTCTAGTGCCCCTCCTGTTTCTCTGCCTAACCACATGCACCACTCTAGCAAATGTTCTCCATTCTTTTGGCATCTACTAAGCCCTACGACTGATGTAGCGCATAGATAAGACAAGCTCAGGGAACAATGACACATGTTATAACAAACCCTGGTAGCTGCTCAATGATTCTATAAGGAACATGCCGACACCAAGAGCTCTCCAGCTCCAACCTATGAGCCTGGATACAAGGTATGGCTGTCCACACAGAATCTGCATTTCTCCTATCCCTCAAAGAAACTAGGACCACGCTACATAGGATCATTTAAGATAACTAAGGTTACAGTACATTTGGACCTTCCAGCCTAGTATCAGGTCCATCTGGTGTTCTATGTCTCACTTCACAAGCCTTGGAAAACTTTCCATCGTAGACAACCCAAGTTCTCACCCTAAGATCGCGCCTTCAGGTGGGCTCAGATACAATATAACCCACGATGGCGGCTCTCTCCCACTACTGTTCTTCCTGCTCTCCTCCTGAGAATATGTTTTTAATTGAATAACTCCCCTTTCTTTTGAAACCATTTAGTATTCTTGCTGATTCTTTCCAATTAGGAGTAGGGAGAATTTGGAATTCAAACCCTAATCAACTGTACATTGCTGGGGACAGACTCTGTAATTTTTTCTGATCTTGCCCGTGAACAGGATACACTTTTTACTGTAAATGCTGAAAAA